TGAAGTTCGAGGCCGGTGATCAGCTTGTTACCTTTAAGGCTAGTGAAGGAGCAACCAAGGAGGTTGGTCTAAAAATCATCGAGAAGGTGTGGCAAGGTGGCGGACAGTTGTAAGCTGTCATGGTCGAGCAGACAGGCAAGGACGCGGAGGTGGTCGAGGAGTTCGACCAAGTGGTCGAGGAGAGGCAGCGCGAGGTGCGTGACTTGCTCGAGGAGTTCGAACAGGTCCTCGACGAGCCCAAGGGACTACCGCCACACCGAGAGTTCGACCACCGCATACCTTTGGTCGAGGAAGGTCAAGCAGTGCACGTGCATCCGTATCGATACGCACACTTCCAAAAGACAGAAATCGAGCGGCAGGTGGGCGAGATGCTCGAGTCCGGGCTCATCCAGCATAGCTCGAGCCCGTTCTCGTCACCGATGTTGCTCTCAAAGAAGAAGGACGGAACTTGGCGGTTCTGCACGGACTACCGCGCTCTCAATGCGGCTACTATGAAGGATCGCTTTCCCATTCCGAGCGTCGATGACATGCTGGACGAGTTGGATGGTGCGCGTTACTTCTCTAAGCTCGACCTACGCGCGAGCTACCATTAGATCAGGTTGGCCAAGGAGGAAGTGCCCAAGATGGCTTTCCGCACGCACCAAGGACACTACGAATATCTCGTGATGCCTTTTGGTTTGTGCAATGCGCCGTTGACATTTCAGTTTGCGATGAATTCAATCTTCAAGGAGTACCTTCGTAAGTTTGTGTTAGTATTCTTTGATGACATTTTGGTGTACTCGAAAACATGGACAGATCATCTCGAGCACTTGCAAGTTGTTTTGAAGATTTTGGCGGCTAACTCATTTTATATCAAGCCGTCCAAGTGCTCGTTTTCTCAAGAGCTGGTCGAATACCTTGGGCACTTTATTTCTCATGAGGGTGTCAAGGTGGACCCAAAGAAGATCGAGGCGATGGTAGGGTGGCCGAAGCCCGCGAGCTTGACGCAATTGCGAGGGTTCCTTGGTCTCATGGGCTATTATCGAAAATTCATGAAGGACTATGGGACCATCGCTAAGCCACTTACGGAAATGACGAAGAAAGGAGCATTCAAGTGGACGGAGGCGAGCAAAAAGGCTTTCGAGGAACTAAAGGAGGCCATGACGACCACACTCGTGCTCGCGATGCCGAGGTTTGATGTGTTGTTCGAGATTCACTCGGATGCGAGCGACATTGGAATCGGGGCGGTTCTAGTGCAGGAAGGTCGGCCCTTGCCTTATCTCAACAAGGCACTCGGGCTGGCGCGCTTGGGGCTGTCCGCGTACGTGAAGGAGATGCTGGCCGTGGTCGAGGCTGTACGCGTGTGGAGACCATACTGTTGGAACCCATGAGGATCTCAATATGCACAAATCACGGACAAACATTCAACATAAACCTATGCGCAGCGGATCTAAAGGTTTGATTTAGAAAACTTACGGCTTAAAATTTATGTAGATCTGGCTGGCCCGAACAGATGACCGCAAATCAAATCTTCTCGGAATCGAACAAACTTGACCAATCCAGAAAGCTGGCGTCACGGAGAAGTCAACGGCATTGACCGGTCGGAAATCGGAGGGTTCACGCGCTCTCACGCGCGCGTGTAAGTTCCAGCAGCTGGGATCTTCTGGCGGCGCGGGTGGGCGTGTGCGGCGGCGGCTGGCGGCGATCTCGACGGCGATCTCTCCGACTCGTCGTCCTGGTCGTCGTGGTATAGTCACTTGCTGGTTTTGGTCTCCAGTTTGGATGGATGATAGATTTGATTGGAATCCCGTATATACCTTAAGATCTTCTACTGTATTCTCAAACAACTATCTAGATCTTGTATCAGTGGAGCACAAGGAATAGAACAACTCCTTGGAAGAGAGAGAGAGAGAGAGAGGGGCAGACGAAATTGATTATGGGATTGTCCTCTTCTTCCATGAGCCTAATGCTGTATATATAGAGCTACAGTAGGGACCCTAAGGAGAATAGGATAAGGGCTTCTAATATATTAATACTGTGGAGCAACCCCACAATTAATATATTAATAATATTAAAGTCCACCACAATAATATTATTGCACTCCCCTCACCTATCCCAAATTACATTTGAGACTCCTTATTATAATTATCCGATTTACCTCCCCATGTTTAAGATATAATGTCCATTAATTAATTCGATCACTAATAATCAAGAATTAATTAATATATTATATTACCGAAGCTAGCGCTCGCTCATAGCATTCATATTATGCCGGAATAAATCCACCTGCAGGGTTTAGCATAATATTCCTTCATGAACTCACTTCGGGGACCTCATCAGACTAACACACATGGTGACCGTAAATATCCTAATAGCACATCGAACACATAATGTCATTACCCAATTCATTAAGTATGTCGACCCGGCTTGGATCTCACCCAAAGAATCAAAGCAACAACAATTATGTGCACATGCCTATTTAATATCTTACGGGTTAAGAGCACGCAATAATTAACTGAGGCCTAGTTCGTTTACGACGATCAGTATAAAACGAACATCCCTCTCTGGGATGTTCAATACATAAATGTACTAGTGCAACTGATATAGTGATCTTCGTTACGCCCGATGACGACCC